CGGCGGTCTCGGCCTGTGCGGGGGGTACATTCCCGGGGGAGCGGGAGAGGCGTCAGTGAAGGTCTGTAGGGGGAACTTTCTGTCTTCTGGCTTCCAGTCGTCCCCAGTTTTCGCTCAGTGAAAGGTTTTTTTCATTCGGGGGAGAGAAGGGGGGAAAAAAAAAAAGTATTAGTTCCCAAATAACAAAGTAGCTGGAACAAAACGTACTGCCTTTGGGATGGGAATAAGTGTAAGGAGACTTAGTGGCAAATAGGCTCCTCTTTGTTTTCAGAAATGAAAAATGCTGTAAAAGTGGAGCTAACCTGCAATATAATCTACCTCTGTCTTGTCTCTTGTTGAGTAGTAGGTTGAGTTCAGTGGTTTTGGAAACACCGGTCAGACGCTAACAGCAGGGCCACCCTGTTAGACAAAATGATTCCCATCACCCTGTGAGCAGCAGTAGGAATGAGTGTGAAAGATCAACTGTTTTTTCCTCCCTGATGTTGGAAAAGGTATATCCGAAGTAGGAATTAGGATGTTAAGGCAGCAGGCTACTGACAGGCTGCTCTTAGGTTTTACTAGGTCTCATCTTCCATGCTTTGGGTTCTGACTTGAGCAATATCGCTGGACTAGTCGTAGTGGTAGTTTTGTTGTCAATCCTGCTTCTGTGGGTGAGGAAACGTGAATGCTGGTGTTGGGGAGAGTTGAGCAAAAGACAGTTGGTAAGAGGAGTGGGAATATATCTCTTGGGAGCCACACGGATTTAAATTGGTATGAGCTGATTGTGAAACTGCACCCCGGAATCTAATGCAATTTTTGTTACATCAGTTCTTTCTCCAGGTTGTGGCAACAGGAAATAAAATATTGACTTCAAGTTGAAAAGATGTTTACAATGTGGGGATTTTGTGTGTGTTTGTTTTTTCCTACTCTTTTCAGTAAAGTCTGCAACAACTAGGTTTTTTGGACCTAGCTTAACTTTTTTCTTTTTTTAATGTGTTGAAGGTTGGAGTAAGAGGGAAGGATATTGTTGTTCTTGGTGTGGAAAAGAAGTCTGTGGCAAAACTTCAGGATGAAAGAACTGTACGGAAGATCTGTGCTCTTGATGACAATGTCTGCATGGCTTTTGCAGGTATGTGATCCCTTCGGAGGGTTTGGCAGTTATTGGAGCACCTTTGGGTATGTTTATGGATTCTGAGAACATAAAATACTTAGCATAACTGGCTGAGGACTGTGGGGAAGGAGTGTATTTCCACGACTGCTTATTCCTTTTGATATAAGAGCAGGCTACTGTATGGATAAATATAGTGAGAGAGCCAGTAATTTCATGAGAGGAAACACATGTTGAAGTTACTAAGGTCCTCTAGGTTTAATGTGAGGATGAAGACTGAGAACTCATGTGTCATGGTCACAGATACATAAAATACATTAAGTAAATATATATAAAAATTTAAATATATATTCAAACAGTATATATCTGTATTTAAAATTAAATATTTATTTTTTATACAAAATATGTATTATTGATACATATTACAGGAGTATAAGAAACATTTGTCAGTTACGGGGGCCTTTTCCCGCTTGCCAAAAAAGCTAAATTTTGCAGTCTTGCATAAAACAAAGAAAAATCTCTGTTCTAGTTCAGAAGACTCTTTCTGAACAAACAGCTCTGGATTTGAAGCGTAAATATTCTAACTCCACATTCTTCCTGTTCCAAATGTCTCAATTTCCGTTGTTGAAAGCTTAAACAGGAGGCGTGAAAGTTAAAAAACCCAACGTAAATGGAGAGAAAATGTATTTCAGAATACGTACTCTCTCCAGGTAGTTTAGAATCTTTGTGTCAGCATTCATGCATTAAGGGGAAAGCTGATTTAACCAGCAAAACCAATGGATTTTAGACTTAGTGTGCTGCTTTGCTGCCTTAGCTAAGGGTTGTGATATGTGCGGGTGGGTTCACTAGCTTGAAGAAAAGTTCTCTAATAGAAACAAGGCTGTAAATTGAAAAATGGCATCATAAGCTAAAAAAGAAGATAAGAAATAAGTTTCTTTTAAATTTTTTTTAAAGGGTCATACTTGTTTTTGTCGATTAACATCATGCTGCTGTAGCCTCATCAACTAGACAAGATTTGCTGTGCAGAGAAAGCTGCCTTATGGTTAGGGGGACTGCATACAAAATAAAACCAGTATGTGTGAGAATTGACATGGCTTTGCTAATTTGCCGTTAGAAGGAACGCTGTCAGTCTGTCAGTAATATTCTGATTCCCTGGTTCAGAACTGCATGTGCTATCTAACTCACAAACACAAAAGCTATAAACTAAATCCTGTAGTTATTTTGGTACATCAGCTTCTTTCTGTTACCTTGAAAATGTTATTCTTGCTCAGCAAACCTGAGAAGGTGGGATCTCTCATTTGCTTTTTTCATTGCTGTTGACACGGACCTTGTGAGCCTTTTGGGGCAAGACTAGCTGGTTTATGTGTGCATATGGTACGAAGCATGAATCGGAGAATACGCTGTCGTTTCAGGGCTGACGGCTGATGCCAGAATAGTTATAAATAGAGCTCGTGTGGAGTGTCAAAGCCACAGACTTACCGTGGAGGATCCTGTCACCGTGGAATACATCACGCGTTATATTGCTAGTCTGAAACAGGTATGTTGGACTGCACAGAGGCATTTAACATACACTCTGATGAACAGCGCTTCAAGCTAAGGGTGTAAAGTGTCTGTCCTGGACTTGTTCTGCTCAGCTGGGAAAAATCAGTGTAACAGAACACATTGCGGGTGTTTATTGGAAATAGGGATATAGTAATAGAAAAGGAGGATTGATTACTGTTTGGGTTTTTTCCCAGAGATGAAGAAATTAATTAGTACTTGTAAGGACTGCATAATTACATTTGTGATATCACCGGGAACACTCGCTAATCTACAGCTCTAATTCACTCTCATAACAATGGTGCCGTGTTATTGTCAAAATGTCTTGGTGGGTCCTGTTCATTTTCCCTCCTACTAAGCCATTGCAGGGAAGGGTGAGAGGGGAGCAAAACAGAGCCGTAATTAATATGTTACATTTGATATTCCTGAATTTGAAATGATTTACAGGGTCAAAATATGCCCATCTGCATTCTGTGATAAAAGTATTCATTTGCCAGTGTATTAAACTGATTTTCAGCAACTAGTGGGGACTGGAAAAAGTCTGATTTATCAGACTTGCGTTAGTATAGTGATGGTGATAATCATGTAATTCTTGTATTAATCACCAGCCTGCCAGCGCAGAGTAGCACTTTCCAAAGTTTCACTCTGTTCGTCTACAGTAATCTGACATCTGTGTCTCTCATTCTGGCACACTGATGGTTTCTCTAGAGCTGGTACAAACCGTGACTCTCGCACAGTATCCCTGCTGCGGGAGTGCTGCCGCTGCCTGGCCTCCCTCTTCGCGGGCGCTTCTGGCATGTGACGTGGCAGCAACGTTGTTAGCCCGTGGCATGTCAGCGGGAGGGCTGTAACAGGGGCTTTGCTGTAGCCTGCGTATTGCCAACGATGAGGCCGTGCTTTCTGATGGAATTATTACAAATCATTGGTGAAAACTGACTTTGTGTTCAGGTGTTACCATCCTCTTTTTTGGCGGCCTAAGCACGCTTGCCAAAGCAGAGCGCTACACCTGGGCTTGCCAACTTGGCGCACGCTGCCTCTCTACACCGCCCGGCACACAAGAGGGATTCTGCCCGGTGGCTGTAATCAGGCAGCAAACTTCAGCGGACGTTAGGAACAGGGGTGGAACAATAACCGCCTCTTCCTTGCCTTGCTTAGGCTCTTCTGTAAGACACGGCACCCTGACTTTAACAGGTAGATCAGTAAGAGAGCCTGCTAAAAATATTTCTGGTGGCTCTTCTGGTTGTAACTTCTACAGTGTCTGCTTTCCACTGTTTTTGGAACTGCTGCTGAAATAAGCGTCTCTTCTTTCTGATCAGAGGTACACACAAAGTAACGGTCGCAGACCTTTTGGTATCTCCGCTCTTATCGTGGGATTTGACTTTGATGGAACCCCACGGCTGTACCAGACTGATCCCTCTGGTACATACCATGCTTGGAAGGTGAGCTGATTCTGTCTCTTGGGGAGATGTAATGAAATGTTTGTGAGTTAATGTCTCCTTTAAAGAGAGACTGGTGTAGAAAGGAGGTCTCGCTGGCCAGATGGTGTCGGCTCACAGCTGCAAAAATCCTTAATGATCAAATTTACTGAGAATGGCAGTTCGCAGTTCAGCTTTACTTGGGAAATCTTGTCCTGTTTCCCTCCTGAAAAAAAACCCAACCCCACCACCTGCGCTCGACAACTGTCTTTTTGTGTGACATGTGGGAAGTAACATGCTCAGTCTCCTGAAAAATACATGGTGATCACAGAGTGGTTTCAGATTGTGTAATTGCACAATTTGTATTTTTTGCTTGTTCTGTAAATGAAGTATTTTCTGAACTTCCATTCATTATCTTTTTTCCTCCTCGATGTTCCCAGGCTAATGCCATTGGCAGAGGAGCCAAATCTGTGCGTGAATTCCTGGAGAAAAACTATACTGATGAAGCCATTGAAACAGACGATCTAACTATTAAACTTGTTATCAAGGCACTTCTTGAGGTGAGTCTGTTTTGGGTCCCCTGTGTGACTGTTCACTGTATCTCTGGATTAACAACCTAAATGTGAGTATGTGAAAAACTTCGTGCACGGCACAGGAGAGTGCTATAAAAGGATCTGTGAAAACTGGTCATTGTAGGCTGTGGGTGTGGGGTTGAATTTCAGGTTCAGAATATTTCAGTAACAGTTTCCGTAGCTTACACAGATGAACTAACTTGCAGTGCTCTGGGGAGGAAAACAGACCTCAGTTCTGGGAGTTAAAACAAACGCACCAAAGATGGGCTAAATCACATGCAGAATATTGAAGTTTAAGATACAGAAAATATCAAAAGGCAGATGGTGGAGACGAGGTGTTCTTCACCAGCCACTGCGTGCATTGATGCTAGAGGAAGACCCTTATTTTTTGAGAGTCACGCTGCTACTGGAGCCGAGAGCTTAGAGCTAATGAGCGAAATACTCCCCATCCATGTATCTTTTCCTTCTGAAAAAAAAACCCCCAAAAAAACCGGAAGGGGTTTGTTAGAATTAATGGACACGCTGCTAATACCTACATGTAACTCTTGTGAAGGTTGTGCAGTCTGGTGGGAAGAACATCGAGCTGGCGGTGATGAGGCGAGAACAGCCGCTGAAGGTATGGTCTCTGTTCTGCTCCTCTCCCCTTGCGGCCGGTTCCTCTGACGCTCCCCCTGTTGCTCTGCGTTAGCTGCCAGCCCTCCTGCTTCTGTTCATTATCAGTGGCCGAGGAATGCTGTTGTGTCTGCGCAAGGTGCCTCTGTCTGGATAAACACCAGTTAACTTTCTTTCCATGGCAGAACTAGAATTGCTTAAGTAAAAGCCTCTACATTGTATTAGTGTCTGGAGGGTCACCTGTGTCTCTGTTTCAGATCCTCAACCCTGAAGAAATTGAGAAGTATGTTGCTGAAATTGAAAAAGAAAAGGAAGAAAATGAAAAGAAAAAACAGAAGAAAACATCATGATGATTTTCATTCAACGGCTTAGCTGCTTCTTTTTAATTCAAGTGATGGGTTACTCTGTATACAACATGTAGGCATTCCACTTACTCATCCTGTGCCCCTCTCGAGACCTACAATAAACCTACTGATTTTTTTTTTTAAAACTGTTGTTTTAAAAAAAATCTGTCTGTTCCTTAGCTTTTAATTAACTTCGATTATCTGGTTGGCTGCAAAACAGCAGTAGTGACCCATTAAAGGACAAAGACTTTGTTTGCATTTTTTTCCTGGGACACTTCAGTTTGTTTAATGATTCTCTTCCACCCGGCTCAGTTGGTAGTGTCTTTTTTTTTTCTTTTAAGTAGCTGTCTCAAGGGTTGTTATGGCCTCAACAGAACATAACTAATATGGAATTAAGCTTTTCCCCCCCCTAACTAGCATCTTCAACTGTAAGTGGCCGGGGCCCGGACGTGAGCCCTGCGAGGGCAGGGGGTGATGCTGCAGGAGAGCTGCCTGTCCCTGTCCCTGTCGCAGGCGCATCGTTACGGCTCAGTGCTGACATAGGCCCTGCATGATTCATCTGGTTCAGAATAAAGCGCTGCTGTTGTGAGTGCCCACAGTGGGATTTACAGACCAGTCGCTTCCTAATGCTAAAAATAACTACAAAGAATGTTCCATGCAGCATGGCTAAACCATAATGCTCTACTCCACTTTCTCCGTCTGTGTTTACCCTCATGCTGTGTGCCCCATAAACCTCACCCACCGGAGTTGGGTTTAACCTGGTTTGTGGCCGAGCCTGTTTCCCGTTGCCAGTCCCAGCAGCACTGTGAGCAGTTCTCTCGTCCCTTCGGCGCAGGGGGATGGCTCAGACGCTGAAAGGGACACAGAGACTGCCTCTGCGCGGCTGTGCACCGAAGTCATGTTGCTCTTGAGAGGCAGTATCTGCTCTGTGCCATCGACTTGCTGCACACATTGACATGTATAATGCAATAAACTTAGAAATATATAAATCTGAAGGTGTCAGGTGGCAACTGTTTACTCAAATGCATTAAAACTAGCCCACAGGAGCTGTGACTGGGAATAGGGAATTTTATTTCAGATCGCTATTTGCATTGTGGCATCTCCGCTCTCCAGTTCTGGCCATGGCAGAGCTCTTTCCAGCCACTTCGTCTGCTGTCACCCTCCCCGGAGGGAGGCTGATGAGGGCAGCGCTCGGGGCACCACAGCGGGTGTTCCAGGTTCCGTGCGACATGGAGAAGGCAGGATGGGGCAGAGGCAGGATCCTGCTGGGGGAGAGGCTGGTCCTGCCGGCCCAGGGGCTCACAGCCCGGAGCTGTTCTGAGACAAGGTGGGTACAGGACAGAGCACAGCTCCCCTCCCTCATGCTGCAGGATGGGCACCAGCCCTTTATTGCCCTCTATGGTAAAAAGCGTATTTTTGTTGTTGTTCCTGGCAGTTTGTTTCTCTTTCAATACAAGCCTTAAGCCTCTAAACCCTGTTTACATCCACCAAGCCCTCCAAAGCAGCTCTTCTGTCTGCTACTGCCAACCAACACTCATTTTACAGGTACAAAGCAAGACCTCTGGCAGCAGCACAGGGAGGACCGAGCGTCCCAGGCCCCTGCAAGAGGGAGCTGGGCTGCCCGAGCCCCTGCCCAGGGACATCTCACACACCCGCGGGTCCCTGGGGAGACTGTGCCAGGCAGCAGACGCAGCCCTGCAGTGCCTCACATGCTGCCTGGCCTCTCACGCCACAACTAAGCTGTTTACAGCAAAATGCGGCAAAGCAAAGTGTGGGCAGAGTATCACACAGGCATCAAGGCCAGGAAAGCTGCTGTGCTCCTTCCTCCTGCTCAGGAAAGCATTGGACCACGGCAGCTGGAGAAAGGGAGTTGCTGGAATAGGGTGGTGTTTCGTTTATCAGCCCTTGGACTGGAATTCTGAAGTTACAAAGGCTGTTTGGTTCCCCCACGTTCCACAGCTTCCACCGGGAAGGCGACAGCGCTGGAGCAGAGCCCCAGGAAGGAGCGTTCCCACGGGAGAAGGGCTGCAGCAGACGAGCCGGGGCTGAGCCTCCCCAGGAGCCCCCCCCCACTGCACCCGTGCAGCACAGCCAGGGACACGGCCACAGCACCTTCACCACTGCTGTCAGGAACAACACTTGTCTCCTGTATTATTACTGTAGAGACAAGGGGAATTACTGCCTTAAAAGTAAATAAAAAGGCATTATCACATAGAAGTGAACAATGATTTCTCTTTTTGCCACAGCCACCTCGGACAAGTCAGCCGTGCAATTCCATCTTTACACCTGATGTCACGCCGGCTGTTTTGCCAGCACAGAAATTAGAGGTTTACAGCAGCTTCCAGGGGAGCTGTTCCAGCACAGGCCCTGTTTTGCTGGTATGGGCCCAGCTACTGAAGGCACTTGTGGCTACCGAAGCAGCAGCACTGCCACCCAAAATGAGCTCCGGTTTAGCCCCACCAGCTGCAGGGCTGGGGCTGTGCCAGGCAGGCACGGGGAGGTGCGCTCGCAGCAGTCTGGGCAACAGGAACACCTCATGAGTGCGATTCCTCAACAAGAGCCAAAACATGGGTAACAGTAACGAGGGTCAGTGCCTGGATTAGGGGGTTTAAGCTCTTTTCAAATACCGTGTAATACCCTCCAGGCCTGCCCAAACCCCGCAGCGCAGTTTTCTTTGACTCGGCCTGGAGCCCTGCTAGGACCGGCATCTGATGAGCTGCATGGGCGGATGTTACTGAACTACGTACAGAACAAAGTAGGAGGGAAACGTTAAACATTTACATGTTTATTATAATTACAATTTACATTACTCCAAAGAGCAGCCCCACTGCTATGTTCTAACTCTTAGCAATAAAGTCCTACAAAAATAAATCCAAGCTTTTACAGTAACCTAGGTCAATGCATAACTAAAAAATTCTAGCTATGTAAGGGGTTCAGTCATCAAGGTGCTTTTTCAACAAAATTCCCTACCAACCAAAAAAGGGACACATGCCTATAGCAATTTAACCCACTTATTCATGCAAACAAATGTAAACCCCCCTCCCAGCCCCTCTCCCCACATACAGATTTTTAAAAACAAAAGAAAAACAACTAAACTATTTACAGTATGGGGGGTATCGAGGAAACAAATTAAACATGCCCATCTGTTAAGCTTCATTATATGGACTCCCATCCCTAGTTTAATGAAAACATTCCATAGTGTTCCACCACAGTCTACTAGTGTACAGAGAACTGTTTGCGTTTGGTACTACCTACGAGCGAGGTACAAACTGAGGCGAGAAGTCAGAGCTTTGGATCTCCTTCCCAGACAGTCACCTACTGCCAAAAACTCTTTATTCCGAGTGCACGAGGGGAGACACTTGCTGCCCCCATCCCGCCGAGGGCATGGCCCACCGTCCCCCCGCACTGCCCTGACCCAGCGAGGAGCTCCAAGCCTCCGAGGAACGCCCGGCGCCCTGCAGCTCGAGGGAGAGTCGCAGTTCCATCAGCCCACAGCACCTCCACGTTAGTACCAGCCGCCAAACAGTTGTACAGTCATTTACACTACTACATGATCAACAATCCAGTATTCCCAAGTGACAATATACATAACTCCTCAGCACCAGGAATCCATCCTTCCAGATACCAAGTGCTACTTCACACCTGCTGCTGAGAACAGCCAGACCAGCAGCACCACAGAATCCATTTGGTTACCCAAACAAACAAATTGTAGCTGGTTTATTTCAAGTGAGCTTTGGTTCCATGTTAAAAAGACCATGATTTATCTTCTTCAGGGTTCAGAAAAGGAGTCTGACTTTAAGCTTAGACTGTAGCAGCCTTTGAGAGACCCAGAAAGAAGAACCATGTAAGTTAGTCTGCACTTAAAAAAAAAAACACAAACAAAAAAGACACCCTGAAGAAGGTACCCCTGAACACATTCCCTCTTCCAAAGAATATTCCAGCTGACAGCTGCTGGTCCAAAATAAGTCCAGAATATAAGCAGTAGTAAGTACATGAAGTTCTGTCGCTTGAGCTGAGACAGTAAACAATATGAACCATTTTCCCACATTAGTGCAGCAGTTGGTTGTTTTCTTTCTATATACAGTTTCGTCCTCTCAGGAGAGATGTTAGAACCTATTCAGAAAAAAAGCAGAGTTAGATTTGATAACATGGGGATCTTTCCCCAGGAAAACAGAAGCAGCAAAGTTCATACCCATGTATCAACTGAAATGCTTACTGGAGCCCCAGCTCAGACAGGCAGCTCTTGCTTCCACGGGCACAAGGTTAGCCCAGGGAATCGACAGAACAATCAACATGTCAAAGAACACATTAAAGTCACTCGTATTTCCTTCTACCACTTCAACAGACAGATCAGACACAATAAGGAACAGTTCTTGTATATCTATGAGACTGGAGAGCAGAAGAGGTTGCACAGACAGTTCAGGCAAGGAATGAGACAAACCTGGCTCAGAGACAGTATTTATTCTTGCTAAAAAACTTGCCTCTGAAGTTACACTCTGCCAGTACCAGCTCTGTGAGTGGTTTGGTTTCGCCTTGCTGCTCCACTACCCCTTCCGCCTCGAAATCCACCACGAAAGCTGCGGCCACGAAGGAACCGTCCAGACACTCCAAACGTCTCCGTATTGAGCTTCCTTTCTTCAGCCCATGTGGTACGCCTAGAACTGAACAAGACTGCATTCAGATTTAATATAAACATTAAACAGCCACCAACTCATTTAGCTAGGAAGCTTCAAGCACCTTATTTTGCTGAACTAAACCACAACAAGAACAAAGTGAGCATGTGTACGCTGCAGCAACTCCATTCCTCTGCTAAGCATGGATTTGAAAGTGACAGCTCTTGGCTTCTGTAAGCCACGCTCATGCTGGAAAACTAAAGATGGGCCTGGAAAAGGGCTGAACGTGGTCTCTCTGACATTTCACACCCTGTCTTGTTTTCCTGAAAACCACAAACTTCTGACTTGAGCGAAGCCTCTCCAGGAGCCCCGGAAGCCCGATCACGACCGAGGTTCAGC